GTATGTGCGCATCTTCTTTATCCTTCATTTACAACTAGTTGATACTACATAAGCAAATAATGGGGTCCATGATGGGCAAGCATTTCCTGTTTCCCACTGAAAAGGATGCGAGATATGTTACGCAACTTGCGCTGCGCTACCCTTATAACCATTCATTTTCTAAATCAGGAAATCAAATCAACACGTGAGTGGGAATTCTTGCTCCCGGAATTTCACCACTCAACTTTCGTGGTTCGAGAGTTGAATTTTCACGACTTTCAAGCGAAAGCACGTATGCGTACAAGGGTGCGAATTGCATAATGTAAATACATCACAGAGTAAGATCGCCTGGCCACCTTAAACACTCCAATATAGGGGAACTTTTTCTTTTTGTAAATTTTGAAAAAAAATTTTTGCTCAGACTACTAGTATTTTGCCTCATTCTGTCCATCTCTGTCTTACTTCTTTCGTTTTTTCTCCTGCCGGTCACCATGTATCTTAATATCACATTTTAGCAGCAGCCTCTAAACGCACTGACAAATGATTCGGAAGGTTTCCCAAAAGGTGAAGCATACTACCGCTGGATGAATACTGCAACTACGACGCATTCTGGCAACGCTGACGGAATGGGTCTGGAGCAGGTCAGTTAACTTTTGCAAGTTTTCATGCGCACGGTTTTCGCGCAGTGAGCAAAAAACAAAGGTCATTTTGCCTTGCCCGGCTAAAGTTCAATCCTTGCGCAGTAACAACAAATGCCAATGAGGCTTCTTTTAGACGGGCTGGTGGCCGGACACAATCAGCAGCCTTTATCCATTCATTAATCGGTTTCCCGCCAGTCAGCAGTTGAGCGGTGTCGCTACAATTCATAGCAATGAGCGCTATCATCCGATGAACACAAATATCGAGCATCTCAAGGGTAACCCTAAAAACGAGCTTTGAACTTGCCAACTGAGGCAGAAGCCACTGCTTGCGCCTCCCGCACTAAATCAATCACTCGCTGGTTATATATGATATTGTAACTCCACCTGTTATTAGTGCTCGTTTCGGAAGATTTGCCATTGTTACCTGTCGGAAAATCTTCCCAAACTTATGTCGCATTTTCGAAAACTGCTCATATTTACAGTTGACTATATGCATTTGCTGTTTTTTGTTTTATCTCTGTAAATATTCATTGTATGGAGAACTAAGAAGCGGTAGTGATGAAATCCGAAAAACGGAACACTGGGCGATCTTGATGATACTCACAATATATCCTGGGAAGAATATCTCAGCTGGTTACAAGTATGGCCGAAGTCATGGCACCAGGGGCATCAGAACAACCATTTCTAGCTGATTTGTGACTAGATTTGGTACCAAATACATAAGGGAGTCTATTTCTATGGGCCTCTGGCTAAACATGGTACCAAACGCAAGAAGACGCCAACGGAACTGCAGTAATTTGTAAAAAAATATCATTGTTTTGTTGTTGTGCAACAGTGTTGTACTTATTGTTGTAAATATTGTTAGGC